TAATTAACATCTGGGGCTCAAGCTGTGAGCAATGAAAACTTTGGGTGATTTTTACTGAAGTGGTTTTCTAAGCATGAAATGCAATGTTCTTTCTTGAATAGCATTTTAATGTTGAATGGATTTTTCCTATGTTGAAGGTTTCATCATGTAAGGATAGTACTATATGCATTCAAGCCACTTAAGATGCTCTTTCATGGATGGGGTTTTCAGAGATGTGCCCTGAACATAGATACACACAGACAGACAGACAGACAGACAGACACGGGGCCACCTGCATACCACAAAGCAGAAATAGTTGCTCTATCTGCTTCGTAAACACCTTAACTGTTGGGGTGGAGGGAGAGGGTTCAGGCACAGCAGTAATAAATTCCCTGATGCACAAGGGAATCCTCACAGAGAACTGACGTATACTCAGGTTGTTGTTGCTGTTGTTGTTATGTGCCATCAAGTCACTTGCGACTCATAGCAACCCTATGTACAACAGCCCTGCTCTGTCCTGTGCCAATCTTACTGTCTTCGACACACCTACCCCCAATACCCTAGTCACTGAATCAATCCATCTCATTGAGGGTCTTCCTCTTTTGAGCTATATTTTCCAACCTACATTGAAAACAAAAGAGAAACTGATAAACACCCAGAAGCTACCCAGAGGAGACACTAAAGAATATAAATTGAATCTACTCCACTCTGCGAACTGTGCAGCTGAGCACAAACGTGCTGTGTAATTTTAGAAGCTGGGGAACTCTATCCTGGGGATCTTATCCTTCCCCCCCCCCTTTGTCACAGAATAAGGCAAGATTCTGATCTGTTGTTCATAGGGTCACTACTCTGAGTCACAGTCGATCCAAAAGCACATAACAACAACATTCTTAAAGAAAGTGAACCTGGCATGTAACAAGACTATAGCTGCATGGAGCAGACCAAGGGACCAACTGATAGGATGATGGCTGGGTGACTAAGCGGATGAGCTGGAAAGATGGCCTGGAAGGAAGAAGCTGCTGGGAGGGTGTGTGGGCACATGAGTAATGAAGATGACATTTTGCTCATGGTTATTCCAGGACCTCAGCTCTCAAGTGAGAGGTTTCTGGGGGAAGCCTCAGGATATGTATGTTTAAAATGTCACGAAATGACAGGAATAAATGGCATGCTGGGGGGGCGTGCTCATACTTCACAGCGTAAAGAGATCATTTATGCTATGGGAAAACTTTTATGAAAGCCATATGACAGCTATTGTAGGTCACAGGCCCAAGTATAGAAATAAGCCCCTAGTTCTCCACCTCGGACAAGAACAGGGGATACAGAGAGGTGTCTCTCTGACGGGGTAAAAGAATAAGAGGAAGTTCGAGAAGTTGATGCAGAAGCATGTGCTATTGGGTAGGTTTTTTGGAATAGAGACTTGGAGGCATCATATCTCTCAACATGAGTCAAGCAAATAAAACAAAAAACAAAAGCCTCTCTTCATAATGTTCTCGTTAGAGAGCACAAGCGGCTTTTCTCTGTCCGTTCACAGGTTCCTCACAAAAGCCCTGTGAAGCAGGCAGAGCAGATGTTATGATCTCCATCTGGCAAGTGAGAAAATAAGTCTCAGGAGGCCTAAAAGCAAAATATGCTCCAAATGGGGAAGGCAAGCCCAGAACCCAGGACCTCTGCTTCTAGTTTCCGGTGGCTAAGTTGATTTGTAGCAACAGTGGGACACGAATAAATTGCTACATGGACACAGAGGGGTGGCAGGCTAAAGGTAGAAGATGACATTAGTGAAGTGGCCTTGAAGTATGCACAGGAGTCTACCAAGTAGATGAGAAGAGAGAACAGAAAGCAGTCTAAGCAAAGGGTCAAAAGGGCCAAAGCACAGAGAAATGCAAATATGCTGTTTGCTGAAGAAATGGAAAACAGTTCACTGTGGCTGGGGCCTAGACTACAAGCAAGAGAGGAGAATGAAGAATGAGGATAAAAAAACTAAGCAGGAAACTCTACAACACTTATGGGAAGCAATGATTAAAGAAATGTTAACCTATAAACTATATCTTACTTACCTAATGTGTTTATGACAGAAACACCACAAGTGGGTGGCTTTAACAAAGGAGACTTTATTCAGCTATCTAGAAGTCTGAATTCAGGATGTTGGCTTTTGGGGAATCTTTTCTCTTACCTGGAAGAAGGTCCATCTCTTCTAAGCTTCTGCTCCTAGACCATCTTCATGGGCTTTGGCACATCTCTTCCCAGCTCTGCTTCCTAGTTTCTTGTTAATCTCTTCTATTATTTCAAAATTTTATTAACTCAAAACATACCGTGTGCTAATCCTGCCTCCTCAATGTAACAAAGACAGCTTATTTCCAAATGGAATTACAACTACATTCTAATACTTGTTAGAATTTAGAATACATATTTGGGGGATACAATTCAGTGCATAACACTAGCAATTCTGTATCTAATAACATATCCAGTAGGTCTACCTGTATAGAAACTCTGGGTGGTCCAAACAGCTAATGTACTCAACTCCCAACAGAAAGGTTGGAAGTTCAAGCCTACCCAGAGGTACCATGGAATAAAAAAGCCTGGATAGCCACTTCTTAAAAACCCAATTTCTGAAAACCCTCTGGAGGACAATTCTGATACACAAAGGAGAGCTACAACCAGAGCTGACTCAACAAGAACTAGTAGACCTGTCCACCTACACAATGACTTAGGTAAAAGGACTGTGGTTTTGTGTATTAGAAAACACTGTAAATGCAACTACAATCCCAGAGGCGCACGGTTTGAATCCACCAGATGCTCTGCCGGGGAAGGAGGGACAATCTCCTCCTGTACCAGTCAGATCTGATTTGACGGTACACTCACACAAAAATAATAAAATAAAATTAAAAAAAAGAAAGAAAACACTGGAAAGAGATCAAGTGACCACCAATAGAGGGCTGACTAAATAAATCTGGAGACAAATCCAGAATGAAAAACTAAAAAATAAGAACAATGTCTCTGTACGGATACACAGAAAAATCCTTGAGAAATATTTAGCAAAAAAAGCAAGTGGTAGAACTTTTTTCTAAGTGTCACGTTACAAAGACAGGCACTGTGATACACTGTTGGTGAGAATGTGGAATAAAATGCCAGTGAGGAAAGGAAATTTGACTTCTAACAAAATTCCATATTCATTTGACCATCAATTCCATTTCTAGTAATTTACCCTAAAGAAATACAGGCAAAATAAGTACTGTTTATAAGCCCCAAGCAGGACTTGATGGATCATTTTTGTACTTAATAAAAACACATAAACTAAGACCAGATACAGTCATGACGTGTACGGTTCTTCACTTTAGACCCTATTTATAATAGAAAAAGACTGAAAAACAACTCAAATGCCCAGCAGCAGGCAGCTGATCATTTAAACAAAGTTACAACAGAACAGTATGAGGTTCTAAAAAGAGACAAGAAGAACATTTCCATATAATGTATGAAGTAGTCTCCAAGATATGTTTTTAATTGGGGGGAAAAAACCCACCAAAGTAGAGAAAAGTGTGCATAGCAAGCTATTATTCATCTAAAAAAGGAAGAAAAGGGACTAGGCTGAACATGTATCTATTAATGTATATGTGTTATTTTTTCACATGTGTCTATGTATATATGTATTGACATAATTTTCCAATGAAAAGATAAACCAAAAAAGTGTTCCATACATGGCTATCTACAGGGGAGAAAAAAAGACGTGGTAGACAGGATAGCTATAAAACCTACACTCCCTATAAAATGGTGCAACCACTGTGGAAAGCGATGTGGCACTTTCTCAAAAAGTTGCAAATAGAGATACCATTTGACCCAGCAATTTCACTACTGGAAGTATACCCTAAAGAGACCATAAATGACATCCCAGTAGATATATGCATACCCATGTTTATCACAGCTTTGTTCACAAAAGCAAGGAGTTGGAAACAACCTAAGTGTCCATCAACAAACGAATGGCTAGAGAAGCTGTGGTATATTC